AGATAAAAATACTCATCTCCCTAAGAAGCTCAGGTCTGTCACTTCATTCACACCATCTCTCCTGACTATGCTACAGGCACTTAAGTGCATTTAAAGGCATTAAGTTCATTGTTTAAAACACAATGCTACATTCTTTTTCCTATTTCTCTGCTTTGCCCTCTGTTTTCTCTGTCTTTGAAAGCACCCTCTGCTATTGCCAGTGTCAGGGAGCTTCTGAGTGTCATCATCAGGGGCCAAAAATTTTTATAAAACTCAACAGTAGTGACTGCTACTACATAATAATTTCCATTGTTCCTTTAAAACAATCTGAACTTTGAAGAGGGATAAGAGCTACAGTCATAGAAACTCTAATATATAATTTTAAATGCTGTTGTTAGTTTTTTTTAAGACCTCTGAGTGGGTTTTGGTGTATTTTTTTAATCCCAGAGAACTGCTTTGGAGAGAGATGAATAATTTATCCATGATGCCTTTCATCTCAATATCAGCACTAGAAAACTAGTCGATAAAACTACAAGAAGATGTCAGATGTGTAAATTATTTCATTGTACTTTACCTAAAGCATAAGCACAAAAGGTGGTAAAAGCACTGAAGAGCCACACCCAGGTGGGAATAAGTCCAGGACTGGTACCTGAAATGAGTTGGGAAGTGAGTCAGTGGTTAACATCAAAGGAATCCACCTAGCTATGCATATACATGTGAACAAGCTGCCACTGATTAGCCCACTACATCAAACAGATTGAAATAGTTGGGGTTGACCTCAAGTCATCAGTGAGCTCCATCAAAGCAGCAATGAGAAGGCTGGCACGTGTTTACACCGTCCAGGAGAGAAGATAAAGTAGAGGTATTTTGGTCCTGAAATGACTCTAGTATCACACAAAATAATGATAGTAAATAGGCAAAAAAATTCACAGGTCATGGGAAGACTATCAGCTGATGCTTATATAATATCTAAGGACAAAAAAAAATGTCATTTTCAAGCATGACCATTATTATTAGTGCCAATGTGGGGTCTGTGTGGCACTTCTCCCATACAAAACTGAACAGGAGATTTTTATCCTTAGGCTACAACAGATATTAGCACTCTTTTTATTTTCCCTTGAGAAAAAGGAAAAGAAAGTTTAATTGGACAGAACCCAGGGTTCTGTTATTATTCTGCTGATAGCAATGACCCAAGGTTATTGCTGCTCTTTAAAAGAAATAAATCCTTTTTCCAAGGAGCATTCATTTTAACTTAAACATGAGGCAATGAGGACTCCACCAGCACTGAACAACTCCATGTGCAGAGCCCCCTCAGGCTGCTGGGAATCAGCACTGAACACCTGCACACAGAGATGTGTCCTTGCTGAGCAGGGAGATGCCAGGACCTAAAGCAGTGCCCTGAGCACCCTCCTCTCAGTGCCTCATCTTGCCACTCAGAAAGAAAAGATGGTAATCCTTGACTCTGAGCATCAAATTTTCAAACTGTTGAATGAAAACCAGCTGTCCAGGAAATTAAGTCTTTTATTTCTGATCCTAGGTATGGGATTGATACATGATACTCCAAAAGCTCATTAGGCTGCATGAACTTTTTGAGTCAATTGAGAAATGATAGTCACTGTTCTCCTGTGAATCGAGAGGAGGCCTGCAAACCACACGTGGAGGTCTCATCTCTAAGAGTCTTAAATCACCACTTCCAATGCCTTCAGGTTCCATGTGCATCTAGTGGGAATGTGTCGAGATAAAATTATCCCAGTAAAAGATCTGTGCTGGATGCTCTTTTATTACAGAACTTAGTAAACATCAGCTGCATTGATTAAAAAACGAAGTGTTTAAAGATGAGGTCAGATAACTACATGATGTACAAGTCTGAAAAACTCACACAGGAGTATTTTTGAAGCAAAAATAAGTGCTAACAAGTATCCCTGCCTCTAGAATTGTTATGATAAACATACAAACAGCTACTGTCAAAGGGTACCTTCCTCCTGAACCTAACCACAGGCATATGAAATTAGAGGCAGTAAAAAGATCCCAATGTATTTGTTTCAGGGAATAAAAGTGTTAAGTCTTCACCAAATTGTCTACTTTAAAGAAAAGCAAAGACTTTTATATATTAATCACCTGGGAGACCCTTAGTACTTTCTGTAGGCTCCAACAGCTGGTCTGAGAAGCCCAGAACTGAACGTGCCCTACACTCAGGAGTAATCAGCTCCAAAAAGCTTTTGACTTGGTCCACCAGAAGGAGAAAATGTAGATTTGGACTTTGAAAGTCATAATTTCAAGAAACATTTATTTAGAAACTATTTCTTCTTTGTCTAGAAGCAGTCTGGAATGCAGGGGGTGGGAGCTACAAAAGGGAAATTAACTCATTCAGGCATCAATTTAGGTATTAGGAAATGTGAAACCCATGCAAAAATGAACATATGAAGAACATTGGGGTGGGTTTTGGCTCTGTATACACTGGAATACACTTTAAATAAAAGAAAATGAGATACGACCATAGATTACAAGCAGCATATGCTGAAACCCATATATAGGGATGAAATTAAGTAAGATTTTTCAATGAAATCTAAATTTATAATGCCATGTGTGAGGTCAGATCTTCCTATATGCTCATGAAGCCTCACTAAAGGAATGGGTGGAAGATTCAAGTATCTGATACCTCCCTGTATCATTCCAATATATGACATAAGCAGCTCACTCATTCTGAAAATTTACAATATGTGGATATTTACCTGAGGCAGTGTAGTCCCAGTCATAAAAAGATATTAGAAAATAATTAACTAAAATCATGATAAATCCAGAGAATGTTAACAGGTTGGGAGCAATCCACAAAGGCACTATCTGTTAGGGAAGAAAGAAAAGAAAGCTAAGAAAAAATTATATTTCAAAAGTTAAGTCCTATTTTAATTAGATATTTTGTATTTTTTGTCAGGAAAGGGGAAGCCTCTATATGACACCAGCAATGGTCAGAGTGCTTCATATTTTCCCATTTTCAAATTAAAATACAGTTTTCTCTGAAATTTATTTTCAAATATAATCCTTTTGCCTGATCTTTGTGACTGTGGTAAGAATATAATTTAAAAATACTGTATCCCCTATGTCATACTTCATCCTTATCCTCCCAGCCACCACGGGAAGCTTCTCTCTATTTTAAGCACCAGAACTGAAGGAAGGCTGCAGCACCCCGGTGTGGTAACTCAGCAGCCACAGGGCAGAGTTTTTAAGCATTCTATTCCCACGCTGTAACAACACAATTCTCCTCTTCTAAAATATGTGAATAATTTGTAACTCAAACTATCAACCAAATCAGACACTGAGTGCATTACACTTTCAAATTCAGATCTCCCTGTTGCAAGCAGCTCTCATCTACTCCTCTACACAGCAACTTTCTGCAGGGTCTCCTTTAGCAAGAAATTACAAACACTCCACTAATTCATTTGACTTTGCAGAGTGCTGAAAAGGACTCTCTGGCTTCACTGAAGCCTCCAATTATTTGTCCCATTAACCATTCTTAGGTCTTCATCCCCTGTGGCTTTAAGGTATTCCTTACACAGGGATCCTTTTTGGTAACACTCTTCCCAAGTAACACAGTTTCTCCAGAATATTTTCAGATAAATTTTTTTCCATGATTTTTAGACAGAAGATATTTGCAGAAATACAGAGTATGAACCACTAGCATCACTCACAGTATCCATATATCCAAAATATAAAAATACTGGAGGCTTATAATCAAATGCTTTGGAGCACCTAAGGGCTGAAAAAGTACTCTACAAAAAGTATTTTGTAAAACATTACAAAACAATATTAAAGAGAAGTTAAACAATTTTAGATACTAATAACAGTTTTGACATCAAACGCTTTGTTGATTTCTTTGTCTAGCTAGATGGACAGACAGATTAAAAAATGTTCATTTAGATACAATTTCACATTTCCTCTCTGCTATTAGTACAAGAAAAATTTGCATACAAAATTTGAATTCTTGGACTGATAAATTATTCTGACTAGATCCTCTCTTTCTACTACAGAATATTTAATATTAATAGAAGTTGTGCAACTGATGTACAGAGTAAACTTCCAAAAAATCAGATTAAAATTCCTGAATATTCATCAGGAATTGTATTTCCTATGTGTTTTCTTTAATAACATTGGGAAAACTACTAAATCTGATCATTGGTTTCCTTATGACCAGGATTTTATCACTAATTTTAAAATACTGTATGTCAGCTCTTACAGTATTTTAAAATACACCATGGAATGCATACAGCTACAATAGAAAAATGTGATGTGTCTCTCATTCTGCCTCTTCAAAAGCCCAATTCTAAATCCCTAAGAAGTGACAGCAAATATTCCCTGAAGCTCCTTTTAGGAGAACACCTAAGGAGGAACCCTTCACTGCATGGGCCCCTCTTTTTACATCAGCTGCATGCTCAGCTTGCAGCAACAGTGGCACATCTAATTTTGCCACCTGGGAATACAAAAAAACCTTGTTTTTGAAAACCTTGTGATGCTTGGTGTGAATCGTCTGCTGTGGAATTTATCTGATGTCTACGACCTTACATGAAATAAGGACAGATGTGGAAGAAATTCTAGATTGGTCTCTTTTAATCTAAAACATAGATGGAAGTAGTGTGTTAGGACAACCTGTGGATGAACTGTTCACATGGATACACATCCATGTGTTGTCATCTAATGTATTGTTTTAAAATTACTGATTTCTCCTGCCTGACTCATATTAATTGTTGGCTATTAAATAAAGTGGGGCGCCACAAATGTCTGCTTTCTAATGAGGCTCATCATTCCAAACAGTCACAAGGTCACTATTAAGTTATTCCAGGAAATAATTTATGCTTACACAGTGCAAACATGAAGATGTTATTTTAACCCACTTTCTTGCTAACATCATGTATTTTAAGAAGGAAACCATCAAATACTTGCAATCCCTTTGGCTCATAGACACACCATGAAAACCAGTTACAGGAGATGATTCCTCAGGGAAACAGCCTCTCCTGCAGCTAAGCTCTTTTGATCCTTGCCCAACCTAATCTGTCTAGGTACTTGGAAAATATTCCAGCTGCAAAATCCCTTTCGTTACATTTAATGCCCTTTATTCTTTTGGTTGGCATTACACTACTATCACCCTATTTCACAATTCAAAAATTACAGGGTATTAAAGATTAACTTCTTATATGTGTGGGAAAAAATATAGCCTGAATTTACTAGGATCCTGTGGAAGGATAAGAGGTAATCTTTATTATCTAATTAACAGACAGTAGAAGTCTAATACATCAATGTGCTACATAATTAATACAACTGGAGCTGCCACTGGGGAGAATCACGTCTGCTCTCTGGCAAAACCATTGTATGCTTGAACCTTCTAAAAAACTTGTAGTTTAGCAAAATAGCAACTGATTTCTGTTTTAACAGGTCTACAGCCATGCATGCTAAAAGCTTTAACACAAACAACAAATGTTTTAATATCAACTGTCTGTTTGGATAATAAATGGTAAAGCACACATTTATATAAAGCTCTGTTCAGACTTGAAATACTCCTCAACTAAGTCACTTGGGACCACTAAAATTCTACTCATGCCCCATTTTAGTGATAAAATCAAAGTTCATAAAGGCAACAGAGAGGGGGTTAATTGACTTCAGTGAAGCTGGCACACACCTGTGTGTCCCAGTGGGATTTCCTCATTTTTCTCTCATTGTCCTGCACAAATGTGATTTCTCATAAATATAAAAGAGGGGGAATACTCTGTTCATGTAGTAGCTAAGTAATACTATCCATTATCTGTCAGAGAGCATATGATTGTGCTTTATTATAAAACACAAACCTTAATTAAAGGCAGAAGGACAGAGCATCGAATTAATCAAAGATTACATACCTGTAGCTGCATAATCAGAATAGCTTTAGATAACATGTAGAGAAAATTGATTGCTATTCTGTAGTTTCATACAGGTGTTACTATAGTTTCACACCATGTGGAAACACTACCATGCACAGGAGTATCTCTGAGTTCTTCAAGCCCATTACAGAATCCAGCCACAAAACATTACTCTTCATTTTCTGCTTTAGCACCAAAATCAACACATTTCTGAAGCACATACATCCAAAAAATCACACTCAAACTGACACAGGCACATGACACAATACATAAGAAAGGCATCTCTGGTAGAGGAAAGAGAGGACCACAGTGGTGAGGATTTCCAGGCAGATTTCTAATTCAATACACAAATTCTTTGCTTTCCTAGAATCCTAAATCTTCTCTAATGTTAGGTTCTTCTTAATTTCTCAGAATGAAGGAGATAATCATACAATGAATAATAATATCTCATAACATAGGAAACACATCTTCCACTGAATTCTGTGTTACAGAATGTAGAGAAACCTGTGTTACAGTTAGGACTAAATTGACATATGAAAGGCCAAATCCAAATCCCAAGCTTCTGTTCTTATACTTTTTTTCTTGACTCTGTGGAATTTAGGTTGTTTCTTTTTAACTCCTCTAGACTTTGGTAAAAACAGTCCCTGTGGAACATTTCTTTTCATCGAATTAGAAATTAAAAGATCATTGATTCATATCTGCACATGGATGTATTAGAATGTCTGAACTGAGAGAAATTATTTCTCCCAGTCATCAAGAAGCACACTTGTGCAGCCCAAGTTGGAATGAACATATTAGATGCAATGTTTCTTCTTAAAATATTATCCCAGCTTTACTATGTCTCCCTATTGCAATGCACTGATCTATTTAAATAGAAATAAGATGATATAGTGTAAAATGCAAATTCAGTATTATATTCTAGATCACAGAATATTATAAAGCACACTCATAGCCCAGTTATAATACTTACAACAGGTATAAGTTATAAAATGAGTAAATCCATTCAAAGCTTGTCTTTCTAAAAATAAGACTTGATCACACATTAAAATACTACTGTTTTACTTACACTTCAAGAGAAAAAAGAGGGTTTGGGTTTTTTTTTTAATGCTGTGGTTTAGGTTGTCCCACAAGAAGTGAACAAAATCATGCTCACCTAAAATTTAAGGAGGTTTTAAAAAAAATCTTGAAAGGTCACTTTTATGGGACCTATCACCCTATGCTACATAAGGACACTCAAGAATGTTGCTTTTCTTCAGGAAAAACCTTGCAACCATTAGAAGAACTTATCTCCAAAGGAAGTTTTTCACTGATCATATTCTCCCTTCAATTTGACAGCTGATCAATACCCACGGATCTCCTAAATCAAAGTGTAAGTGCATAGTAAACCCTCTGTTCATCTCCTGTGCTGGACTCCAGAGTACTGAGGGGGCTTTTCTGCCTCATTGTTTAACTCAGTATTATGATGGGAATTAAAATAAGAGTCTCCAAACCGATTTATTGAATTCAGTTCCACATCTTTGAATCTCTCTCATACCATGGCCAGGTTGTTTTTTAGTTCTTGTTAGGTCCTATAAACACTTTCACGAAATTACAATGAGGATATGAATGAGAGATTAGGATTTTCCTGCTATACCAAGCGTAAGCAATACCTCAATTATAGAACCCAAAGATGGCAGATCCAGCAGCACTCTGACCACATACATCCTTTTTTGTTTGTAGAAAGGTTTGTTTTCAAGCCTGCTCCAATCTAAATATTCCCTCTACATAGGCAGATGCTGAAGTCATGCTGCTTTGGAGATCAGTAAAGTTCATATTCATTTGAGATACAGCCTTTTTTTCTTATTATTATTTTCTTTTTTTTGCTAGCAACAGGAAAACTAACTGCAAGCGGGTTTATTTTTAAAAACTGCAGATCATAATGTATTCAGGAGCTGCCATCTTCCAATCGTTCTGGTGATCATGGTAACCGCTCTCATTTTCAGCTTCTCACAGAAATGCCTCGCTCCCTCCAGCAAGTACCCTTGGGAGAAAATGAGACAGCACTTGCATAAAAACATGTGCACAGCACAGAGATAAAGCCATGCTGTTGTTAGGTGGCATATGCTGCACAAAAATAATTTGTACTAAGTAAACCCTTCACTGTCTGCAAGGCTGTTTAATGAAAGGAGTAAAAAAGAAATGGATGCTTCTATAGTGATCAGAAAAAAATAAACCTTGTTTTTCTTGAACAAACCCACCTCAAAATCCAAATATACTCATCTTAAATATACCTATATATCTCATAGAACATTTGTTTTCTTTTATACAGATGTCTTAATTTCAGCTTTATTAATCAGTATGTATTTTTAAATGAAAATGCATGTTGTATTTAAAGCAAATTCTTACGTTATCATGCGCTATTTCTATGAAGTAAAATTCTTACCTTAATCATTTTGTTCCAGATGGGCTGCATAATATACACAGATAAAGGATTTGTATCCACAGCACTGTACTGTGAGGGGAAAAAAAGAAAATATGTTAAACAAAGCACTGAACAATGCATATTTTTCCATCACTGCTTATCCTTCAGCATCTAAGAACAATCACTCTGAGGGTGACTGGTGTACATTTATTTTATTCTGATGACCATTCAGACAATTTTAATTTGATTTACAAGCACTGGTCTGGTTTACAATTACCTTGTCAGCAGCTCTCTGTACTAACACAAAGGTTTAAGGTGGTGAAATGGCAAGTAGCTCTGTAGTCACCTTTTGCTTTTAGATTCTTACTGGTGTTACAATTTGTCATGTAAGACTGCATTTCTACCATATTTTGAATTTAATACCTTTATTTGCACTGTCAGTACTGCACAGTCTGAGCAGCAGTTCGTTGCTAGTATGCAGAATAGATAGTGCATATGGAATGTGGTTGTAAGTGGGGTATTATCTCACAAAGATACACAGCTTTTCACATAGTAACACAGTTACTGCCACTCCTCAGAGAACAGAACCAAGTTTTATCCTGCCTTGAGACTGCAGAACACAGAACAACCTGCAGAAGAATGATAATACCACTTGCAACTATGTTCTTGAGCCCTGGTGGGTCCACAGTGAAACAAGTCAGCCACTACTGGGGTAGCACATGTCATTCTTTCAGAAATTCCTGGACTTTGAGCATGTATATATGGCTTATCTTGTTAGCATGATGCATATGTCTCACATAAAGGTTCAGCTGTATCTATATGTAGCATTGTCCAAACACTGTGTGCAGACAATGGGAATAAGACAGGGATGTGTTAGACCACAATTTGTCCAAGCTGTTCACATGCAGAGGAGCTGATGACAGAAAGGCTTTCATTTCACCTAACTTCAGCTAACAGCTAATTGTTCTTTCTACAGTTAATTTATCAACCTCTCTTAGTCAACTACCCTTTGGGTGAGATTGCACTCTGGAAATACCTGTTTCAAGTCATTCATTATGAAAGAAGCTTAGATACTCACCTTAAACTTGGGCATCTTCTAGGTGACTGAAGTCTGGCAAGATTAATCTCAATTTCGGTATCCTCATCTCCAAGCGTTTACACGCACACTTAACCTACACACACCTGAGCTAACAGCTCTCAGAGGACAAGCACAAGTGGGACAAAGATCAGTCCCACAAGCCTCAGGCTTTGAATGCAGAGTTTACAACTTTTCACCTAGTCTTCCTGAGGATCTCAGCCTATGGAGTGCTTAGAACTCTTCCACACATTTCTTTTTTCTACCCGCGTACAAAGGATAAATTTTAATTGTTTTTTTTCTGGACAAAACAAAACATCTGCTTAGTTATTTTGCAGTTTGTGGTTAAATTTTAATCACATATAAAAAATGCAGTATGCTTGTAAAATTATTATAACACATGTCGTGAATACATATTGGCAAATATCAAAGAACATCAGCTACTGGTCAGACTGGTCAGACTAACCTTCCACGGGGAATAAAGGGCACAGTTTAATGAAGTGCACATTCCAGATTTTGCTTCAAAAACTATTGAAAGTGTCACTTAAGTGTATAATTTTTCTCTGCTTCTGCTACCCATATTATTTAAAACATGAGACAACCAAAGTGCTGGGGTTAAACTCCCAGCCCTGAATGAGGGTGGGCATATGGATGGTGTCCACAACCAGGCAAGAAAGCCCCTCCTGAGTGGTTTTCACCCAGGGTCTGGCCAGCCTTGGGTGGGAACTGATGAGGAGATCACCACCAGGTGCCCCCACCTTCCACATTAAATTGGACAGGGCCAGAACATGAAGCTGTCTCTGAGTCCCTGCCATATGAATGGGCTCCTGGCCTGGCTGCTCCCATCTCCCATGGCTTGGCTCCTTCCCTGGCTTGCTCCCTTCTTCATGTCCACTGTGGTGGGTGAGTGCATGGACTTGTTCCTCCTCTGCTTGTCTGGCACTTTGGATCTCTGGGGTGTGATGTGGGAGTGGAGAGAGGAGTCTGGCTGCTGCTCTGCCTGTTCATGATAATATTATTCTATACTGAGCAAGCAATCGGCCCCATCATCAATAACTTTTCTGCCAGAATATATATTTAGAATTCTTAAGTATATCACCTCAGAAAAAAATTTTACTTGCAAATTCAAGTTTTCACTATTCCGTATTCACAACTTCAGATGCTGTATTCTGTACTGTATTTTTCAAATATTATTACAACTGATTGATCTTTTGATGATCTAGCTTACATGTGGATTCACACAGTCTGAACTGTCTGTGGGCTTTGCTTATATTTATGCCAAAAATAACAACAATGCCAAGCCATGCAATACCTATGCCACTAGAACAGTCAGTTAGTACTTAACTCACGTGACAACTATGGAAATCCTCTGGAAATGAAGAAAATTCAAAGTATCCATTAGCACTATTGAGGTTCCAGGTAAATGGGAATCTCCCCAAAGTTTCTCTGTAGTTTTTGCCCATTTCCTTACCTCAACTCGTATTCAAAGACTGTGTGAGGTATGTAATAAAAATTTGCTGACCAACAAGTTCAATTAATTCAGCCATGCCTGGATAAGAATGCACAAAGGTCAAAATATGTGACCTTCACTCTTACTCCTGCTTTGGTTTTCTCCTTCCTCCCTCCACCCCCAGCCTTCAAAGCCATGAATAAATTCACAAAATCCTCATGAAATAACAACAGTAAAATAAGGTTTCTACCCAAAGTACTCATTTGCTGTCCAGAAGTATTACTTATTCCCAAGAGGTAAGAAACTTTTTTTTCCCCAAGAGGAAAAAAAGGAAGAACCAAGCTAATTTCTTCCATATTACTTTCTTATATGGAAAATATAAGAGATTATATAGGGATTAGATAATTTTTGTATTTTCTTAAATGGAAAATATAAGAGGTCATGTAGTTTTCCTACATAACTCTATATAATAAACATAACCATGATGCAGCTTTTTTTTGCTTGATGGTTTCTGAAGTCAAGCACCAAAAATCAGAAAAGTCTTTATTAAAAAAAAGTAGAATTGCAGCCAGCTACTGTCACCTACAGACAACTCAAGACCCACCACACTTCATCCTGTTCATTCCTCTGTCTCTGGCTGAACCATAGGCCTCTGGGCAGGGAAAAAACATTCAGCAGATGTGCAGAAGAATGGAAATTTGCTTTTCCTTTGTCAGTAATGTGTTTTAGCCAGACCAAAGGAAACACCCATGGAAAAAAACACTCTGCTATTTTTCTGTCATGGCAAAAAAATAGAGACAAAATCTGCTATACAGCTGAACACTCTGCTTTGCTCTGCTGAAGCTCAAGGCCATGAAGCCCTCAGCTTAATGTTCATGGCTGCTCAGAAAAGCAAATTACTGAGCAACACCCTCACATGACAATCAAAGAACATGAATGCAAGAGTGCACTGACCCTGATGTAAAAACAGTGCTGCCATTTGCTATGGCAGAATTCTGTTCAAAGACCTGGAGGACAAGCCTGTTGCAGGTTTTGAGTACAAGGCTGATACAAGTGCTAAGGACTCCCCACAAACACCTTCTGCACTAGAAAAGGGATCTTGATTGCCCTTACCTAATGAAGAAGGGCTTGGTTTAGCCAGAAAGCTTCTGCTAATTACTTTTAAAAGGAGTTGTAACAGTTAGGAGGGAACGGCAGTAGTGAGGGAGTAGGAAAAAAATGGCATTAATCTCACTCCCAAATTCAAATATGCTTGTGTTGGTTTGTTTGTTGTTTTTTTTTTTAATAGCTGATATCTCCTTGAAAGCCATCTGCTTTCCCTCTCTCTGTAAATAATGGCTTGTAGCAGAGCTAGAAATGAGAGTATGGACACATGCAGCCGTATGTACTGCCTCAGGCAGCACATCTAACATGTGCCTTTACTCTGTGTTCCTGTGTCTTACTCTCCATCCAGGGGATCCAGAACAGCATCAGGTCTGTACTGGTCACCTGTGTTAGAAGGAAAAGGAAAGATGAGGTGAAGGCAGAAAAAAGCTATGAACTCATGCTTCATGCACTCTCATAAAGAGCCTGGCTCCACCTTCTCAAGGACTTCCCACAGGTACTGGGAGGGATGCTGCAAGATGCCCCTGAAGATGTCCCATCTCCAGGCTGAACAAGCTCCAGTCCCTCAGCCTCCCCTCACAGGACAAGTGCTGCCTGATTTCTCACCAGGAAAGGGCTTTATTTAACTGAACACATTCAAAAACACTTAACAGTGAAAGCCAAAATCATGCAAAAGAACACAGAAACACAATTAAATGTTGAGCAAGGGATAAGAGAAGGCAGATGCACATTTGTTACTATAAAGGGATAAAGGTAGAGGATGGCCCAGGTTGGCTAAAGTACAAATCCTGCTAAAAAAACCCAAACCTGCACTCTCTGAAGGAACTGCAGAGAAAGGCCCTTTGCCATACTTACTCAAAGAAGCTCTAACACAGCAAGGAAATTGATTTCTATGTATTTTTTCTGTAGACTGGTCTTCTACAGCTGGTAAAGGCAATGACAGCAGGATCCTGTGCTACATCTATTTGTGTGTGTGTACAAAAGTATGTTTTTGAAGGTGCCAGCAGCTGTTTAAAGATTAAACATTAAACCAAATTCCCACACAGCTGGAGCTCTGCTACTGCATGTACCTAAATCACTGGGGAACCCAAAGGAACTGCTCCAGGCCCAAAAGGGTAGACAGAGTCAAAGTGGGCTAGTGTCATCATGAGGGATGTTCAACAGGGATTCTGTACCACATACACTAAAAAGATGTACGATCTAGTATCCTGATGCACAGGAGAGAAGATACTGCACAAAAAGATGCAAAAACCCAGTTCCTCCCTCTTCAAAACAACCCTTGTAAGACTGGTTCCCCTAAATTTATAATAAGCAATCCACATTTAAAACAAGAGATATATCATTGCAATTAGTCTTCTGTTAAAGCACAGATGAATAAACAAAAAGTAATACCTATGAACACACGTGTATACATGCATATCCTACACATAAAAATCCAACAAGCGTTTCAGAAAA